ACTCCACACACACACACACACACACACGCACACACACACACACATACACGCTGCACCTCGGATGACTCCTTGTGGATGACGGCGCGCTCATCTGCAGCCGTCTTGCAGGACCGGACTGCGCGAATCAACTCACGCACACCACCCATCCTGCCAGTTGTGCTGGTTTTGCTTGTTCGTGTCGGCTTCCTTCATTTGCGTTTGAGAGTGAACAACGGAACGTCAGCTTGCGTTGATACACATCAACATAAACATCAAGGCGCAGCCACCACACACACACATGCACACACACATGTGCACACACACGCACACACACATGCACACACATGCACACACATGCACACACACACACACACACACTGATCCATTCACAGCACACGCACACCACCACGCACCACCACAGCACATCCAAACAACTCACTGCCGTGCTGGTGCTTTTGCTTCGCTGTCGTCTTTGGGTCAGTCGAAGTGTGGCCAATTTGTTAAAGATATGGCCAATAATCGTCAAAATACGTATTCTTTTCGCCCTGAATTTGAACGACACACACAAGACACAGAAAGGCGGTCGGTTGGTTGGATGTGAGTGCACATGCATGCGTGTATGTGTGTGTGTGTGTGTGTGTGTGTGTGTGTGTGTCTCCTCATATCCCATGCATGCCTTGTGCTACTGGTAGCAGTGGTTGCCTCGCTCGAGTCGTCGCTGTAGGGCTTTCATTGTGTTCACTGGCTCCTCACACACTCACTCACTCACGCACACACACGCACACACATGCACACACACACACACACACGTGTCGCTGCATTCACGCGAACGCACGCGCCCTCACGCTGCAGATGGCTTCGTTCGACCGCAAGTTTCGCCGCGGACAAGTGCCGGCGTCGCCGGCGTCATCCACGTCGTTTGCGGCCACCATGGGCAGCCCACAGCGCGGTGGGCTTGGCATGCATCAGCAGCAGGAGCAGAATCAGTCAATGTATGGCCAGGGCGCGGGTCTGTCCTCGCCGCAGCAGCCACATCATGACACCGGCATGTTTGACGGGCCCATGTCGTATCAGCAGCGAAGGGATGAACCCCGTTCCACAAACTTTCTCCTCAGACCAAAGGTGAATGCGTACGTGTGTGTTTGTGTGTGTGTGTGTGTGTGTGTGTGTGTGTGTGGAGCTCTGTCTGCATTGATTTTGTTGCGGTTGGCCTCTTGCTTTCACCTCCAACTCATCTCGGTTTCATGGTCCTGAACCCGTGCCGTTGTTGATCCTGTGCCCGAACGCCAACACCAACAACAACAACAATCGAATACATGCACGTGGGCGCACGTCAAACAGCAACAACAACAGCAACAGCAGCGCCAACAACAGCAGCAGCAACAGTACCAGCATGAGCAGCAGCAGCAGCACCTGTCTGCGTCCCAGCGACCAATGTTTGGCGGTGACAGCGGGTCGCTCTTCTCACCGCACCCATCCTCGATGGGACAGAGCGATACAGACGGCGGCAGCAGCGGCGGGTATCACTATCAACAGAACCACCACCACCAGCAGCAGCAGCAGCAAGGGTTTGATCAGCATCACAGCAGCATGTTCTCTACCTCCTACGCAGGTGCATACGGCCAACAGCAACAACAGCAGCAGCAGCAGAATAGGCCACTCCGCCCAAGTGGGTTGCGCAACGAACAGGGTCTTGGCATGATGGGTAACGGTGGTGCGGTAACGCGGACCAAGACCTCCTCACACGTCGACCCGCCTATCAGCGGTGCGCGCGCGCGTGTGTTTTGTGTGTGTGTGTGTGTGTGTGTGTGTGTGTGTGTGTGTGTGTGTGTGTGTGTGTGTGTGTACCTGCCTGTGTCTGTCTTCATGTGTACCTCCCTCTGTGTGTCTATACCTGTATGTTTATGATGTTTGGATCCAATGTCTGTCTGTGCCGGCATCCATTGCGGGGGTGTGTCAGCTGCCGCTGTTTTTACCATGTTGCCCTTGCTCACGCAACCAATGCCCCCCCCCCCCACTGCAACCCTTACACAATTCGTTGTGTTTCTCTCTCCACTTCAGGTCTGCACGACACGGAATCTCCCGTCTCTGCCACACCCTCCATGCAACTGCCAACCACCGCAACAGCAATACCGCCACAGCCATCATCGTCGTCAGCATCATCGTCACTGCCCCCCTCATCCACGGGTGTGCACTCTACATCTGTCTTTGGCACTGCGGACGCCATGGCGCCACACGACTCACCGCTGGTGCGATGTGTGTGCATGTGTGTGTGCATGTGTGTGTGTGTGTGTGTGTGTACCTGTTTTGTTGCGTTCGTGTCTTCGTTGATGCTCATTTTGCCCTACCGCTCCTCACATCACCTTCCTCCCAACTTTCTTCCTTCCCCCCCCCCCCTTGGCTTGACTGCCGCCGTCAGTCGCGCGTGCCAACACATGTCCATGCCGGACCCCACACGCCGGCCCGCTCGACACACCACGCGCGCGCCGTAAGTCACGCCCATGCACACGCTTGCACGGGCGCATCGGACACTTGCACACACATACCCACATGCAAAACATGTATGCACACGTACACACACACACTCACTCACTCACACACCCCCGCTCACTCACACCCGCTCACTCACTTGCGCACACACACACACGCGCACACACACACACACACACACACACACACACACCGCAGGGCGGGGGAGATACGTGTGTGACGGTGTTTGGGTTCACGCCGGAGCATGCTGGGCACGTGCTGTCGGAGCTCGGGTCGTGCGGAACAATTGTCCGCAAGCAGCACGGCGCTGGAAATTGGATCCACATCCAGTTCTCGTCCCGCATTGAGGCGCAGCGGGTATGCGCGGCTGGAGGGAAGACGGGAGGGGGTGAGGTGGTGGGAACTGTGATGTGATATGTGTATGTGTGTGTGTCTGTCTGTCTGTCTGTGTCTGTCTGTCGATCTGTGTCTGTTTGTCTGTGTTGTCTATCTGTCTGCCTTGTCGATCTGTCTGTCTTGTCGATCTGTCTGTCTTGTCTGTCATGTCTATCTGTGTCTGTTTGTGTACATGCCCACCATATTCTCTCACCACCACCACCACCATGGCGCATCAGGCGCTGTCGCGGAGTGGGCACGTGCTGCACGGGCGGGTGATGATTGGCGTCATCCCCTGCACCGACGATGATTTCCTCAGCGGCGCAGGGCAGGTGGGCAGCAGCACAGCAGTGGTGGTTGGAGATGGTGATTGGTGGTGATACGAGAAAAGGGAGAGCAAATGGAGCGAAGGGCGGAAGCTTATGGTCGGTGCATGTCGCTGTGTTTGGATGTGTGCGTGAGAGAGTGAGAGGGAGGAGCAGGAAGCTGTGTTCGACACGTGCGTGTGTGTGTGTGTGTGTGTGTGTGTGTGTGTGTGTGTGTGTGTGTGTGTGTGTGACATCTCTCTGTTGCCCTTGCTGCCACTCACTCAACATCACATTGCATCTCCTCACCCTGCCCTCGCCGCAACCGCCATTATCAGACCACGCCAACCACCCCTGGCGTGCTCGGTACTCCAATGCACAAGAAGACGCCACGCATTCTCGGAACAAAGAAGGTGGGCACAAGCTGACACGTGCGCGCGTATTTGCACATGTGTATGTATGTGTGGGTGTGTGGGTGTGGGTGTGGGTGTAGGTGTGTCGCAAATGATGTCCGCAACTACGTGGTATTGCAACATTGTTTCATGCTTCCAGTCACCATCACTAACATCCGCCCTCCTTAATGCTCCAATCAGTCGACTGCGCCCGGGACGCCCGGTGGCCCGACGACGGCAACGGTGTCGCCCTCCCGCTCGTATATTGGCGCTCTCGGCGACTTTTTGTGGTCGTGGTGATGGGTGATTGGGTGGCGGCTGTTCTGGTTTGGATTGGGTTTGTGCTAGTGGTGCTTCGTGGCTATGTCAACTGGCCGGTGATGGCGGATGATGGTGATGAATAATGACAGACAACGATGACATGCAAGCGCGCACCATGACACAGACGCGCGAGATGGGTGGTCTGGGGAGTTGGAAGGTTCGTTGCACTGATGCTTGGCTGGGCTTTGACGGCGATAGCGACAGCGCGTGTTGGCCGTGCTTTGGGCCCTGTGTCCTGTGCCTTGCCTTGCTTGTGGTGTTAACCAGTGAACAGTATGCATGAGTGAGTGAATGAACGAGGGATGGGAGTGAATGAACGAGGGATGGGAATGAATGAACCAGGGATGGAGTGAGGGAGTGAATGACAATACACACACACACACACACACACACACACACACACACACACACACACACACACACACACACACACACACACACACAAAAGCACACACACACACACACACACACACACACACACACACACACACACACACACACACAAAGCACACACACACACACAAAAGCACACATTCGCTATTCCATGAATGACTTTTATCAATTTTCTGCGTTGGTAACGGCTTTGAGACAAAACAACAACAAGGTTCGATGTGTGTGGTTGTGTTGTGTGTTTGGTGTTTGTGGTGGTGGTGGTGGTTGGCAGGGGAGAGCGAGGCACCACCAGCAGCAGCGATGATTGTTTCATCACACGCACATTCACAAGAAGAACAAGAGCAGCAACAACAAACAAACAGCTCCGCTCAGCCACAACACAGCTCACACACCTCACGCTCTGCAAAGCAAGCCGAAAAGAGCGCACGCGCCCTTGGATACACATCCATTCCCTTGCTTTCCAGCGTCCCGCCACCCTCACATCCTTTCTTTAAACAACGTACGCGTCACTAGTAGACAACCAGGGTAATCAGCAAACAAGGCAACCAATCAATAACCGCCCACGACAACAGCACAAACGATACACAATGGGTTGTGGAAGCAGCAAGGCCGCCGAGGTCAAGCAGACCACCGTGGAAGGTGCACGCATTTGCATGTGTGTGTGTGCGTTTGTGCGTTTGTGTGTTTTGTTTCTTCTGTGTCTGTGTTCGTGCACCTGTGTCCGTGCACGTGTTTGTGTGCGCGCGTCCATCTGTGTGCGTGTGTGAGCTTGAGCAAGCCGAGTCTCGTATTCATCCTCTTGCACATGGCTCCATCATGGCTCCCTGTTGGTTTTTCAGCCGCCCCAAGCTCGGCAGCACCAACGGCGACCAAAGTCGACGTCTCACAATCGGTAGGTGCTGCTGCTTGCAAGCAACAGGCGTGAGTGTTAGTGAATGCTGCGCTGCGGCACAGCCAGCGCAGTCTGCCTCGTGCGCGTGCCATGCCCTCCTTCTCATTGACAACCACACAACGGCTTTGTGTGATGGGGATATGTTTGCACAGAACAAGAGCGTTGCGCAAGCAGAGGGCGACAAGAACGACACATCCACACAGCAAGCGCAGCAAGATTCAGCACAAGCAAAGCCAGACACGAAAAAGGATGAAGCAGCAGCAAGTCAAGGCATGAACACCGATGGTGAGCCTTTGTGTGTGAGTGTGGGGAGGGAGTGGGAGTGTGAGAGAGTGCATGTCTGTGTGTGTGTGTTCATGTGTGCGCGCGCGCATTCATGTGCGTGTGCTTCTGCGATTGATTGTGTGCAGGCGTGTGTGTTTGCTTTGTTGCACATGCCATCTTTGGCAACATGCCATCGTGCCATGCATACACCGTGCGACACTGCCCCAACTCACATCTTTGCTCATCCCTCCGCCATCAGCGGACCTCAGCGTAACCGGCCGCAAGATTGAGAGCAGAGCCGGCTCACGGGACCAACAGAACCCACCGGTATGTGCTGTTTAGCGACCACGCCTCGCCTCTGTCTTGCGAGAGAGTGCGGGATAGTGATCGTGCGTGTCGAGCACTGCCCACATTCCGCTCGCATGCGGAATGCAATGCATGACTTGAACCCATTTGAACAATGGCTTGTTTTCCCTCTTGTGACCAAACACACTCCTTCTATTTTTATTTCTCACTGCTCGACACTCCGTGGAACACCTCATCAACCACCCCGTGAACTATCGCCACGGATCAGGACACGCCTGCGACAGACGACGACTATTCGCGCATGACGAGCGCCATCTCCACGCGGAGTGCACCGCCGTCCATTATGGAGAGGCCCTCGTCCCGCGGCGGCCGCGCATTCGAGATCAGCGTAAGCGCCCTCGCTTCCCGCTGCTGCCGTTTTTTTTTTCCGTGTGTGTGTATGTGTTTGTCTGCGTGTGTGTGTGTATGTGTGTGTGTGTGTATGTGTGTCTGTGTGTCTGTGTGTCTCTGTCTCTGTCTGTCTCTCTGGCTCTGTCTCTCTCTCTGTCTCTGTCTGTCCGTCTCTCTCCCTCTCTGTGTGGTTGGAATACACTCCCATCCCACTTCACTGTCACCCTCCTCACCCTCCTCCTCACCCCCCCCCCCCTTGTCTCTCCCCCACCAGTTTGAGGATGGCGATGTGCGCCGTGCGCCGCGTCGGCTGCAGAAGTTGCAGCACTCGTCGCGCCGGCGCAAGGGCGACTTGACGCTCGACCAGCTGCAGCGCAAGCTCGAGGCCGCCGAGAAGAGGAAGAAGGAGTACGAAAAGCGCATTCTCGAGAAGATTTCCGTCGACGTGAGTTATTCGTGTGCTTTTTTGGATTTGTTCGTTTCCGTGTCTGTGTGTGTGTGTGAGTGTGTCTGTGTTGTGTGTGTAATTGTGTGTGTGCATGTGTACTTGTGTATGTGTACTTGTGTGTGTGTGTGTGTTTGTCTGCAATCCCTGTCTCGTCGTACGTTTATCCTTGGCCCTCATTCCTCGCCCGTCCTAATCCCCCCCCCCGTTATCCAACTGCACCAGACGCGCAAGCCCGCTGACCGCCGAGAGGAGCAGACGGAGCAGCAGGCAAAGGAGGTTGAGAAGAAGGTCGAGAAGAAGGTTGACAAGGCAATGGTACGTTGTTTGTTGGCTCAGCCATGCTGCCACGCGTGTGCTCATGCGTGTACCCATGCGTGTACTCCAGTGTTTACACACACACAAACACACACACACACACACAACACCTTCCTCTCTCACTCCCCCCCCTCCCTAACCACCTCTACAACCATCATCATCATCATCATAACCACCACCACCACCACCACCACCATCGACAACAGGAGAACCGGGAGGCGCATCTGCGATCGCTGCGGGAGAAATTGCGCGCACGCGAAGAGCACGGCCGGAAAGTACGGGAGAAGAAGCAGCAGCAGAAGACGGACCAGAGCGAGGCCTGATGGCGCAGTACATGGCGCCGCCACAACTCAAGTGAAGTATTTTGCACTACTGTTTCTTCCCTGTTTTTTGCCTCCACCCCCTCCTCCTCCTCCTCCTCCTCCTTCATGTTCTTATCGGCCAGACAAGGCGGTGATTGTGTCCTTGCATCACATCAACGGACCCACCAGCCATGCTTCTCCCTCCTTGCCTGCCTTCAACAAACAACAATCCTACGCAACACCCGCGCACACTCTTTAATCTCTTTTTATCCCCTGGCTTGCCAGCCAAGCTTTTTTCTTTTCTCTCTGGTGTGTGTGTGTGTGTGTGTGTGTGTGTGTGTGTGTGTGTGTGTGTGTGTGTGTGTGTGTTTGGTGGTGATGCTGATGTGCTTGCTCGCCCCATGTCATCATCACGCCATGTCGTGTCACATGTCGTGTCACACCGTAGCTTTCAGTGTTGATTGTTCTTAGGATGTTCGTTCGTTCGTACATGTCAGCAGACAACAACTTCACTCCTCGTCCCGTTGTTTCGGTGCACACGTGTCTCCTTGTGCCACACGCACGTACGCGATGGTGTTTGTGCATTCATACACTTGCACGCGTTTGTTTTTCGGGAGAGTTTGCCAGCAATTCAATGAACGAGTGGAACGATTTCAATAAAGAAAGACAAAGAAGCAATGTGATAAGCAAAGAACAAAAGCGCACACGTGGAGTGGAGTGAAATCAAAATAACACACGAGTGCAAGACGGACACGAATCACGCGGTTGAATATGTGGTGGTGTCATGTGCAACAGCACCAGAGCAAGGAGAGCGAGCGTACAGCGGGCACAGAAGAAGGAAAGAGAGGAGAGGGAAAAGAGGCACGGCGCATCAACAGGCAACAAATGGGTCAACGGATGCACCAGTGCATGGAAGGGATTCAACGCCATCGTGGCAACACAACTCATCACATGACACACGACGCATGACCCATGACAGAGCGCAACGGGCGGAACGTGGCAGCACGGAAGCACGCAGCGCGCCAGTGGAAGAACAATGCACACGCGCACAAGGGGGGGGGGGCGGGGTGGCACCACAAACGAACAGAGGAACAGAGGAACCGAAACCATGGACGGCAGTCGCAGGGAACTTGCCATAGAAAGAAGCATGAACGATGGAAGACGATTGCGCTGCAACAACAAGAAGAACCATCAATACAGGAAAGCAGCAAGAGCAACAAAAAAAAATGCACCAACAGAGCATGCAAAAGTGCAAACAACAGAGCATGCAACAACGGGGACGCCTGTTTGGCATGGTTGAGTTGTTCCTGTCGCAGGAGTTCAGCGCTTGCGGATGGTGTAGTGGCCACCGTACACGTTGTTGTACGTGTACACGTTGTCCAGGCGCACGTTGAACGTCCAGCTGGGGAAGTAGTAGCCAGAGTTGTAGCAGTACTTGTCTGTGTTGGTGTTGGAGTAGCAGAGCTGGGCCTGGTAGCTGTAGCTGCCGGTCACGGGCCGAGCATACACACGCTGCGTCACAGAATAGTACGTGCGCGTGTACACGCGATACAGTTGCCACCTGGTGTTGTTGGATGGTGGTGGTGGTGAGACGATGTGGTGGTGGTGAGACGATGTGGTGGTGGTGAGACGATGTGGTGGTGGTGAGAAAGCCACGAAGCAAAGCCTCGATGCAAGCAATCGTGGGGTCAACGTGACGGTAACTCACAAGTGCTTGCAGGCAACCAACGAATGAGCGAACCCACAACAAGGATGCACACGACAGACTGGGCGCACAACATGTACACACACACACATGCGCGCGCACACACACACGCATGTGCACACATGTCACACGCATACACACACGCATGCGCGCACATGTCACACGCATACACACACGCATGCGCGCACACACGCACACACACATGAACTTACTGCTCTGGGACAAAGAGGGTCTGGTAGAGGTTTGTGGCGTAGTAGCAGTAGTAGCAGGAGGAGCTGGAGTACGAAATCTTGAGGGAGATGGGCGAGGGGTAGATGTAGGTGTTGTAGCCAGACTGCGCCCGCCAGTTGGTCACGAGCAGCGGCAGCTTGCGCAGGGCACCGGCGTTGACGGGGAACGCCATGCGAGCGTTGAGCGTGGCTGCGCTGTGGTAGGCGCTCAGGCGGGAGTTGAGGTAGCTGATGGTGGAGTAGGAGGACAGCTGGTTCGGCGTCACAAATGAGGTGGACTTGGAGTGGTAGCGGTTGTCGAGGGAGCGGAGGAACGAGCCCTGGATCCAGTTGCGCAGGTTGTTGATCTCCGCCGCCACCTTGCTGTTGACGTAGGTGGTGGTGGCGTACGACGACAGCTGGTTGGCCACGGCGTTCACCTTGGTGTCGACCTGGCTCTTGGTGTACACGTTGTTGAGGCGGGTGTGGGCGGAGTCAGCCGTGTTCTGCGCGGTGTTGATGCGGCCAGAGAGCTGGCCCTCCGCCTGCTTGGCGCGGTTTGCCTCGGCCGTCACATCGCCCGAGACGCCCTCTGCGTACGTGCGCGCGGCCTTGATGGCGTTGGACAGCGTCGTGTCCATGCCCTTGAGGCCCGTGATCTCGCCGTTGATGTTGCTGATGTCGGTGTTGATGCCGGACTCGGCCAGCTGTGCGCGTGCCTGCTCGTTGGCGAGCGACTCGGCCAGCATGGCAATGCTGCCCTCCAGGTTTGACTCCAGGTCTGACAGGTTGCTCTCAAGTGCCATTGCAGCGTCATCGCGGGCGCTGGCGAGGGCGCTGTTCAAGGTGGTGACGGCAGAGTCGAGGGCCTCTTGGGCGTTGCTCTCTGCCGTGCTGACGGCTGTGTTGAGGTTGGAGGTTGCCGTGTTCAGGTCCGAGGCCACGCCGTCCACGCGCGTGGAGATGGATTCCTCCGCCTCGCTCAGCGTCTGCGTGAGCGAGCTGCCCTGCGCCTCCAGGGTGCTCTGCAAGCTGCCCACTTGCTCTGTCAGCATGTCCTGCAGGTTGCTGCTGAGGTCGTCCAGGTTGCTCTCCATGACGGCTGCGACGCTGCTGGCTGCCGCCTCAAGTGACCCCTCCGCCTCCTGTGCGCGACCGGCCTCTGTGTCGATGGCGGAGCTGAGCTCGCCCACGGTGTAGCGCTGCTCGCCCATGACAAAGGCGATGGTGCGGTTGGCGCCAGTTCGCAGCTCCAGATGCCCGCCGTCCGTCACCACAGACGTGCGCACTGTTTGGCAGGGAGAATGTGACAAGTGGGTGTGACAAGTGAGGGTGATGAGGGTGATGAGGAAATGAGGGTGATGACGAAGGACTAAGGAGGGGGGGGGTTAGAATGGACAGCATGAGCATAAACAAGCGAGCATAAGCAAAGACACAACCGACACCATACACACACACACACACGAAACAGCGCACTCACCACAGCCTTTGCCCTGTGGGCCAGGGACACCGGTGAAGCCGTTGAGGCATTCGCAGTGGTAGGCGGTGCTTGGAGCAGGCTCGTCCACGCACACGGAAGACCGCAGGTCACACTCGTGCGAGGCGCAAGCATCAAAGTCTGCGTGTGCGTTTGGAGAGAAGAGGGGGGAGGGTTGTTTGTTGATGTGAGCATGAACCAGGGCAGTGTGAGTGTGAGCGATGTGCACGGTGTTGCTGTTGCGGGCACCGAAGCGCTGACGGGTGATATCAACAGCAAACTTGCACGCGCGCTCACAACCAAATAATAAACAAAACAAAACGAAAACCCAAAACAACAACAAAGTCAACATGCAGTCACGTACAAAGGCAAGCAGTAACAGTTGCAGGCAGCACCGAACATGCTAAGCGAAGCAGCGTGCACAAGCGCACACATGATGAACATCAGCACACACGCTCACCTTGGCAGAGGTCGGAGGGCACGGCAACGCCCGTCTGGGCATGCTGCCAGCGGCCATCAGCGCAGACAAAGACGGGTTCAATGGAAGGGACAAAGCCTGTGGCGCAGGAGAGCTCGCAGCGCGCACCGTCGACGATGCTGGTGCATGGATCTGCAGCCGGCTCGGCGTTGTCTGGCAGAGAAAAAGGCGGGCACACAACCGTGGTAGTGGTGGTCGTTGTGGTGGTGGTTGTGGTAGTTGTTGTGGTTGTTGTTGTGCTTGTTGAGGTTGTGGTTGACGCTGCGGCGGCGACGGTGGTTGTGCCGTTGTTGTCATTGCCTGCTGTCGTTGATGGTTGTGACGATGCGCCTCCGGGCGTCGTCGTTGTTGTCGTCGTTGTTGTCGTCGTCGACCCTTGACCAGCTGTTGACAGCGGAGAAGTGGAAGAAGAAGAAGCAGCACGCACTGTCATCAGGGGACCTGTTGCCTGCAGGCACGCCAAGGCCAGCGCGAGCACCAGCAAAGCTCGTCCTTGGATCATGATGTTGATGTTGAGGGTGTTGAGGATGGAGATGCGCCGCTCGATATGGAATAATGATGAGACGGGTTAGTGCAGAGGGAGGAGACTCTGCAACTCGGTGCGCGCAACGCAACAGGGCGGCCAAAAGCTCTGGCTGTGGCTGGTGCTCTGATAACCTCCTGAGGTTCAGCAGCAGCGGTTGCTGGAAGAGGTGGAGCAGGAGGGAAGCAGAAGGAAGGAAGGAGAAATGCGTGCGCGGAGAAAAACAAACAAACAAACAAACAAAACAAGCCAGAAGAAACTTGCTTCTTGCTTTGCTTGCTTGACGCTTGATGCTTAGGGATGCTGATGGCGTGGACGGGTGCGCTGCGTGAACTGGTTCCCGTGCTTTCCAACCTTTGCTTGCTTCCTTGGGACAAACCAAAGCATGGCCAGAAGTGGGGCGTGCGTGCATGCAAAACACTGTGCCGTTCGCCTCCTTCGCGACATCGCCAGGTTGTCTGTCCTTGGTGTGTGTGCTTGCATTTGCCACCCCATTTCATCGTGCCAAGCAGCGATGGCACCACGAGCACGGAAGATTCCATGGCAAACTAAGTGGTGGCGAATGTTACGTTAAGTGTGCATGGAATTGGTTGAGTGCGAAAAAAGTGTTGTTGGTTGTTGTTGTTTTGGTTGGATACGAGAGATGTGTGTTGTGTTTAGGTTTGCATGGCAGGGACACTGATCGAGCGAGATTGAAAGAGGGAGATAGAGAGAGAGAGAGAGAGAGAGAGAGAGATAGAGAGAGCCCTTGTGTGTGTGTGTGTGTGTGTGTGCTTGGAGTACGCCAATACCTTGTTCATGTGTGGTATTACCGACGAGTAGATACTGGAAGTGCCACCACCCTTTTCCCTTCACAACAACAACAACAACAACAACACACACACTCACACACACACACACACACACACACACACTTTGACGGTTGATTGAGCTGGGATGTGTATTGGCGTGTCGAATGACAACAGCAAGCAACAAGGCGGGGAGAAAGCAAGGGTGCTTGCTCAAAACACAAAGAGGCGCGCACACGCACGCAAATGAAACAAACAGAGACCACCACAAACAACATAGGAAAGCAGCAATCGTCGGTGCGGTGCAACGCACTCACGCACGACACACACAAGAATGAGGATAAAGAGGAGGCAATCAACAGAGTCAAAACAAGATGAAACAGACAAACAACCACCACTGACAAACAAGCACAAACAAACACCACGTTCGAGCAAAAGGCGCGTGTTGTGGTGGTTTGGTCGTGCCGTGACGTGATCACACGGTCGTCATCGCCGTCGCCTTGTTGTCATCACCGTGCGCGTCCTCCTCGGCCTTGTCCATCGTGTCGACTTACTTGCCGCCGCCATAGCAGACGAGGCCGCAGAGAGCGAGCGTGCAGGGCACATCGGAGTCGCAGGGGATGGCGCTACGGCAGTCGCAGCAGCAGTCCACGCTCTGGCACTTGATGCAGGTGGTGGGCTTCTTGCACTTGCACTGGCTCTCGCTCTCCATGCACAGGCACTCGCTCTTGCTGGCCAGACCAAGCTGGAACTCCTTGAAGCCGCAGATCTCGCAGAAGAAACCTGTGAGCAGCTTCAGGTCAGACACCTCGCGGTCGAGCATGGACATGGCTGGCTGGTCGGTTGGTGGGAGCAAGGGGAAGGGGGAAAGCGAGAAGGCGGCCGTTGGATGAGACAGAGAAGAAAAATGCCACGCACATAACCGCACAGCAGAGCAGGGTGACGAAGGGAAACGCGAACAAGCGAAAAAAAAGGGAAAGTGGGCGGTGCCAGTTGTTGCCACAATAGTTTATTATTTGGAATATTAGTTGAAGTTATACAATAAAAGACGCAAATCAAGTGCATTGCGCAAGATCCCGGTGACGTCACACAATAGCACGCAAGTCGCCGAAGCAAGCAACAAACGCAAGGGCAAGAGAGAGCGGAGAAACGAGGCGCGAGTGTGCACAGACAAAGAAGGCGCGCGCATACACAAGCGCACAAGCGTGCACACATAAGCGCACACATGCACAGTCACACACACACGCATACACACAAGCGCACACAAACACAAGCGCACACATACATACATCACTCACTCCGAGTCCCATGCATCATCATCAGACACGTCGCTGTCGTCGTCAGCCAGGACCAGGCCGCGCTCAAGAGCGTCGCGCATGTAGGCAGCAGTGCGGCCAACAAACACGGCATCTGGCCAGCGCCAATTGACAGACTCGCGGTACACCCTGCACCACACCAAGGTCAAGGTGGGTAGCGCGGGGAGTGCCTGCATGTCCTCAATCGTGCACATGTGCAGAAACAGACGGTGCACGCCTTCAAGCCGCGCCCAGGTGGAGGCGTCGTTGATGCTGCAGCTGAGCATGCGACACGAATACACGTTAGACATGCGCGGCAGGCGCGCAGGCGGCCTCAGGGCACACAGCTCCACCAGTCGCACGTCTCGCACCGCCGTCAGCTCAAGCCCCTCGCCGCCATCCACCCTCAGCACATCGGCGTCCACGACAGACACCCGCCCGCTGCAGCTGCAAAGCTCCACGCGCTTGCACCCGGCAATCTCGGTACTGAGGAAATGGCACCGCGTCAGGTCGAGGTGGGTAATGCTGCGCAGGGCGGCAACACCGTCCACAGTGACTGGCACCTCGTGGTCCACGCTGATGGTCAGCCGCCGCACGTGCGCAAAGTGGCCCAGGTCAAGCGTTGGATAGGTGGTGCTGGTCCGTGCAGCTGGCAAGATTGCACAAGCACGGGTGCTGCTGTTGCCATCGCTGCTGTGCTGGTGGCCGTGGTCGTGGCGTTGGCTGTTGGTGTGGTCGTGGTCGTGGTTGTGGCTGTCGCTGTTGGTGTCGGCATTGCTGTCATCAATGTCCTCGAGGACTAGCTCAACTTGGTTGCTGCTGCGTGCCTCGCCCTCCCTGGCGACTTCGCCTCCATCATTATCATCCTGCGCTTGCCCCTCTTCCTCCTCTTCTGCATGTGCTCCCCCTACACGCTCATCAACCTCGCCACCTCCTCGGCGGCTCGCGAGTCCAGCACCAACAGCATCGTCGTCGTGGTCGTCTTCGTCGTCACTGCCTGTGGTGATGCACAGCTGCAGTTGGCGCACGCACGCGGGGAGATTGGCAACGGCAGCGTCATGCACCAAAGCGCGCGTGGCCGTGAGCACGCAGTCTTTGATGCTGACAAAGACGTGGTCTGGGATGCAGTGCAGCAGGGAGAGGTCGCCCACTGCATCGCCACTCAGCCCGAGCCTGTCCACGCGCTGTCCTAAGGTGTGCAGCATGGCTGATGAGAGCGGCATCTTGAGGTGCACGCGGCGGGCGTGGCGGAAGGTCGGCAGCGCACGCAGCGATGGGCAGTCCTGGAGCGCAAAGTAGCCGAGTTGACCGCAGGTGGTGTGGTCACTGGCCGTGGTGGGAATGGTGGGAATGGTGGCGTTGCCGTCACGGTTGCTGCTGCTGTTCATGTTGTTACTGTTGCTGCTGCTACTGCTGTTGTTGTGTCGACCATGATCATCATGATGATCATCACCACCACCACCATGTGCAGCAGTACTCTTGCAAGCACCACCGCCACCAACACCACCGTCACTGCCATTGCCATTGGATAAGACCAGCTCCGTGATGCCAGCGCAGTCTGTGACCTCGATGCAGCGTGCGTGGGGCAGGTGCAGCACGCTTGGCAGGCCGCTGACATCAAAGAGAGACACGTCCTCGCAGTACAGCGCGTTGTGTGGCGCCTGCAGCCTGGCGCTGGTTAAGTGTAGTGTGGGGATGCGCGTGAGTGGGGTCAGGTCCACACCGTACATGCGATGAAGATGAACTTCACGTGCGGTGGACAGTGAAGACACGTCCTCAACCGCGGGCAGGTCAGACAGGTGCACGACGTCCACGCCAGCCAGGATGCTGATGTCTCGAATCAGGGTCGTGCCAAACCCGCCAATGTACACCGACCGCACACGCTGCATAGTCCCGCGTATGTGCTCTTGCGTGTCATGCACAAACCAGCACAGGTGGCCAATATCGACGAACTCGACGCTGTCCACGGTACTTGTCGCGTGCAGCGTGACGATATCGGCTTTCCGCACCGCAAGATGCTGCACCGGGCCTCGGACGCTGATGTTGAGGGAGCCCGTGCCGGCACTGTACCGGCTGCACACCTCAGCCAGCTCATCCGCATCCGCCTGGTTCATCAGCAGCGCCGACACCGAGTACCACGCAGGCTGCAACGCCTGCTGCTGCTGCTGCTGTTGTTGTTGTTGTTGTTGTTGTTGTTGTTGTTGTTGTTGTTGTTGTTGTTGTAGTTGTTGTTGTTGTTGTTGTTGTTGTAATTGTTGTTGTAGTTGTTGTTGTTGTTGTTGTTGTTGTTGTTGTTGTTGTTCTCTCGTGTGCCCGTTTGGGCTGCTGTTGGCTGCATCCTGGGGGCTAAGGCGATAGGGCTCGCCATCAGCATTGGCACAGCCGCCCTCTTCACTTCCATTGTCACTGTCGTCGCTGTCGGAGTGTGTTCGCCGCCACAACTCCAAGTCGGCCAGCGTCAAGTACCTGACCCGCACGCAGCGCCGGAAGTCGTCCCTAAACCAGGGCGGGTACCACGCGTCGGGTTTCAGCAGGAAGGGGCACTGGTGCCGCCACGTCATGCCCAGCCAGCTGTGCACAAGGAATCGCATCTGCAGCCACGCACGGTACCTCACCGGCGTCATGCCGCTAGCTGTGGCGGGGCATTGTTCCGCAGCCGTGTGGGTTTCTGCGACCGTGTCTGTAGCTTTGTCTGCAGCTGTGTCTGCAGCTGTGTCTGTGTCTGCAGTCGTGTCTTGCCGCGCATCCTCCGTGATGACTCCACATGCATCACCATGAGCGGCATCATCCCCGTTGTTCCGTTCAACCGCACCCCCCTCCACCCCTAACCCATCATCGTCCTCATCGCCATCATCATCATCATCCAGCCAGGTCTCGGACACGGCACGCTTCATCCACACACTCCACTTTGGCATGGCCCACGGCAGATCGTGGTACAGCTCCCGGCACGTGAGCATGAGGTTCATAACCGAGCGCACGCGGGCCTTATCCTCATAGTCGCTCTCCACAACCCCATCATCATCATAACGATGGTCGTTGTCATTGTTGTTCAGCACATGCCCAGCCACAACCGCCCACACATCCACACTGAACATCTGCTGTTGGTGCGTGTCGCGTGTGCGTGCGTGCGTGTGTGTGTTATAACCGCATTGGAATTTTGTTTTAAGACTTCTATCAATCGTCCGAACCCATTGCGCGCAAATGTGAAGAAGCAAGACCAGCGAAGTCTGATGACACGAACACATCACACACACACCACGCACCACAGCAACGCACGCACGCGTCAACGCACAGCCTCTCTCCCTCTCACTCTTCGTGTGCAGCGAAAAAGGGTTGGGCCCGATGTCTCGATGCAAGACACAGCCATTTTTGCGTCCATTGAAATGGCCATCATCAGCATCAGGCGCAGAAGCAGAAGCAAGACGCCGAAGAAACACTGCCCCCCACCCCCACCAGCAGCAACAACCCCGCCTCGCCATCACCATCACTGAACGAGAATGTAACCATCGCCGCCGTGCTGCCACTGCAGCTGCTGCGACAAAGCAAGGAGCACACACCGCACTGCAAACAATGCGCCAGGTTAGTTGGTTGGAGCACAGAACAGAAGGAGGCAAGGAAGGAAGGAAGGAAGAAAGGAAGAAGAAACAACAACAACAACAATGTGCCAACCACACAGGCTTGCTTATGTTTGGGTGTGTGAGTGCGCTTGTGTTTGTGACTTTGTTACTTTTACACCAGCAGCAGCAGCAGCTGCTGCCACCACCTCCACAAAGTCTCACACAGCCTCGAGCCGATCATTTTCTTCTTCTTCTTCTTCTTCTCTTCCATCTGACTGGCTTGTTTGCCAATGCACCTGGCCATCCAAGGCATCACTTTCACCGTCCATCGACATTGTATCGACCGCACACGCACAAGCAAGTACGTGTACTCACAATCACACATGGATTGACAATCACACACACGCACACGCACACCCGCACCCGCACCCGCACCCGCACCCGCACACGCACACACACACACACACGCTCGCGCGCACACATACACGCACGCACACACACACACACACATGCACATGCACACACATGCACACACACACACGCACACACCCATTCCCTCTCTCTCTCTCCCACACCTTCCCCGTCTCACATCTACATGTACATTCATTCGCATACCTAGCTGTAACGGAGGAGACCTTTCTGGTTCCACAACCCTTCGCAGCAATCGAGCAGAAACAACAACTCCTCGCATCTGCCTGACAAGATGCCGACCGCACGGCCACCGTCCGATATGGACACCGTGCCACTCGTGAACAAGGACGACGACAACGTGCGTGCCATCGACAACTACCTCGTCCCGGATGACCATGTGGTCAAGGTACCCGCGTCCAAGCTCGGCGCCGACGACGACAATTACACCAGCACCACCGCCGCCGTCAGCACCGCCAGCGGTAGCAGGAGCAAGCGCTTGGGCGTGGTGGGCGTTGCGCTGGGCTTCCTGGGCGTGCTCATCTTTGCCATCATCGTGGCCACGTCCCTCATCGCCCTCATGAACAGCGCCAGCCTCAAGGACACCGCCGTTCACTCCATGGACATCTACATCATGGATCCCAGTCCCGACGGAAACAGCGACAACAACAGCGGCGGCAGTGGTCATACATCTTCCTCCTCCTCCTCCTCCTCCTCCTCCGCCTCCTCCTCCTCCTCCTCCTCCTCCTCCTCCTCCTCCTCCTCCTCCTCCTCCTTCTCCTCCTCCTCCTCCTCCTCATCATCATCATCATCATCAACATCGTCTTCTTCGTCGTCGGAGCCACGAGCGTTTGCATCGGCGCTGCCCTCGACAGTTCCAACACCAGACAACGCAGATGTCGTGGTGGCCATGAGCCTCGCACTGCCCACCATTGCCAGCATGCATGCCGTGTACCTCGACGACATGACCTGCACCGTCTTCGCCGATGGCCAGCAGCTGGCGCGCGCGTCCACGCCGCAGCTGGGCAGGCTTGGCGACCCCCACGTGTCGTTCAACCTCAGCATGCTCGCCACAAACCAGGACCTGCTGGGCCGCCTGCGCTCTGTGCTGCTCACAGACAACATCGCCCCGATGACCACCCCTGCCCCCAATGCCTCAGCAGCAGGTGATGGTGGCGCTGGCGCAGTGCCCGTGTTCACGGCAGCCTGCGGCGTCACCACGCGTGTGCGGCTCTTTGGCACCATCTCGACCGGCAGCTTTGTGATCCAGCGCACCTTCAACATCACCGACACGCTGATCAATGCTGCACAGTCCATCAGTGACCGCGCTGCTGCTACCAACGAGAACATTGACAGCGCCATGGGTGCAGGCCACACCGCCAGCACCGGCACGCACGATGAGCAGGAAGCACAGCACCCGCTGCTGCTGTATGTCCGCGGCCTTCTCTCGAACTCGTCATGGACCCCTGTGAAGCTCGGATCGGTGCCTGCAAGCATCCTGCGGCAGACCATGCCCGTTGCCAACATCACCGTGCACCTCCCGCCCACCGCGTTTCTCTTCTGGACACAGACGCCGCTCTCGTCAGCATCATCATCGTCAGCATCATCGTCATCATCGTCGTCAGCGCCCAACATGCCGAGCCACTTGGCGGTGTTTGGCCCCGTTGCGCCCTGTCGCATTGGCGAGGATGTGGTGGTGGTTGGCTTTCACCGCAACAGCGTGCCCATTGTCCGTGGCGGGCGCCTGAAGACGAGCATGCGCCTCAAGGTGCTGTCCTCCGCCACGGAGCTGGATGTCGTCGGCAACAACGCGTCGACACAGCTGCTGTCGCGCCTCGATGCACGCGGCTCTGACGGTGGCAGGGGCTTGCTGTCCCTGCTTGGCTTCCACCTCGCCTCCTCCCTCATCAAGGCGCAGTCGACATCGTACTTCCGCTCCGCCAACACCCACGACAACCTCCTCACCTTCCTCCTGGGCCACTTCCAGCTCGCACACATGAGCACCACCACACGCAGCAGCACCACCACCACCACCACGATTACGCCTTCGTCGCCCAACGCACCCCCACCACCGCCACCATCATCTTCATCATCAAACAGTGACGACAGCAGCAGCAGCAGCAGTGGTCGGCGCCGACGCCTTGTGCTGGACGAGGACAAGTGGGCCTACACAGCGCTGTATGTGGAGGTGCGCGTGTACGATACACTCGACGGGCAGGCGCAGGGCGGCCTGTCCGCCAACGTCACGCTGGCACAGGGCACCGGTGGTGTTGTTGAGCACGACATGCACGCCACCCTCGGCGCCGCGCTGTCGTTCCACGGGAAGCTGCAGGCGAGCGTGGCCGGCGCTGTCGACTTCAACGACAACGACAAGACGATGAGCATTGCAGGGGAGGTGGAGACGCCCCAGTACCCGGCGGCGTGGGTCGCGGTGGACACGTGGTGGACGTGGTGGGAGGACGGCGACGCGCTGCACATCAACACCACACACACGACCACGTTTATGGAGAATGGCGACGAGGCGAGCGGGCTGCTGCGCATCCAGGCTGACAAGGCAAGCAACGAGCTCTTTGTGCACCACACGATGACGAGTGACCGCGGGTTTGACACGACGATGCAGGTGCTGCGCGCCAACGCATCTACCCGCGACACGCGCGACTACCACATCCTGGAGGTGACGGTGAGCGAGGCCGCGGTGGCGGTGGACGAGGAGAGCAAGCTTGCGCTGGACGAGTGGCGTGGCATGTTGCTGCAGGTGGCACGCGCCAACAGCAGCAGCGGCGCGCACGCCATCCTCATGACCATCGACGCCGACCTGTCTGGCGTGGCGCTGGGCGGACCAACCACGTTCACCGCGCAGCTGTGGTCGGACGACGGCAGCACCATCGTCATGGACGCGGAGCTGAGCGGCGGCACCAACGCCCTCCTCACGTGGCACTCCAACGTCACCACCAGCGACACGCCCCAGTATGACGTCATCGACTTTGACGTGACGCAGCTCGGCCTGTACGCGGACGGCGACCCCATCGTGGCCGTGGACACGTGGCACCGTTTCCGTGTGATGACGGTCAAGGGCGGCGTGTTTGACGTGGGCACGCGCGAGCTGGTGGTGTCTGTGCTGGTTGACTTTGAGGGCAGCGCACTGCCGCAGGACGCCGCCACGCTCGTCGCTGATGTCAGCGGCAACGGTGAAGTGATTGACATTGACGTTGCTGCCGTGGGCGACAACACGCTCAACATGACGTGGCACTCCAACGCCACGGCGGCGGAGGACGCAGACTACGACATTTTCCTCTTTGAGCTCCCGCGTGCCGGCTTCTACTGGAACGACGATGCCGTGTTTGCGGTCGACACCTGGCACCAGTTTGTCATCAAGAGCCTCAAGTCGGGTGGTGGTGGTGCTGGTGACGACCTGAACGACTTTGAGGCGTGGGTGCTGTTTGACATGGAGGTTGGCGATGAGGTCGCTGCGATCAGCTTTGGTGCGTGGTACAACGACGGCGTGGTGTCGCTCAACACGTCGTGGGCAGGCACGGACGCGCTGCTGTTTGCACTGCACGTCAACGCCACCAGCACAGAAGATGCAGACTACGACATCTTCCTCCTGGACATGCCGCGTGCCGGCTTCTACTGGAACGACGACGCCGTGTTTGCCGTCGACACCTGGCATCAGTTTGTCATCAAGTCTGTCAAAGTTGACACGGACGACCTCAACGACTTTGAGGCGTGGGTGCTGTTTGACATGGAGATTGGCGATGAGGTTGGCACAATCACCTTCGAGGAATGGTACAACAACGACGTCCTCTCTTTCAACCTCTCATGGGCCGGTGTGGACACACTGCTGTTGACCGTGCACGCCAACGCCACCAGCACAGAAGATGCAGACTACGACATCTTCCTCCTGGACATGCCGCGTGCCGGCTTCTACTGGAACGATGATGCCTTCTTTGCGGTGACAGACTGGAGCGAGGGCACGATCAAGACCCTCAAAGCCGGCAGCAGTGCTGCGCTGAACGACTTTGAGGCGTGGGTGCTGTTTGACATGGAGGTTGGCGATGAGGTTGGCACTTTTGCGTTTGAGGAATGGTACAACGGCGGTGTTCTGTCGTTCAACTCATCGTGGACTGGCACGGACACAGTGCTGTGCACCGTGCACGCCAACGCCACCAGCACGGAGAACGCAGACTACGACATCTATCTCCTCGACATGCCACGTGCCGGCGTCTACCGCAACGGCGATGCCGTGTTTGCTGTCAAGGACTGGGACCACTTTGAGGTGTGGTCGGTGAAGAGCGGAGGCACACCCTCGCCCAACGACGTGGTTGCGTCGTTCCTGGTCACGCTGGAGGGCGACCTGGTGCCCAAGGGCGAGATGAGCGAGGATTTCCACATGGCATCGCGCGACAACAGCTTCAACATGACGTCCACTGTTGGGTTCCCCGCATCCTCGCTCACCCTCGTTGTGATGCGACAGGAGGTGGACAGCCACAACTACGTAACCTTTGATGTCACCCGTCACCTGCACGGGATTGCTGTGCCGGAGGCGTTGGAGGACTGGCACGCGGACCTGGCCCTGGACCTGTACGATGATGGCCTGGGCAACTGCCACTTTGCCAACGTGACCGATTTTGTGTTCATGCATGACCTCACGCGCGTATTTGTTGTGCACCCGCACTCGCTGCTGCACCTCTGCGATGACACGCGCACGCTCGGGATTGACCTGCTGTTTGCCGTGACCACGCTCGGTGGCGCCGGCGGTGACGTCGGTGCTGTGGCCATGGTGCTGGACGCAGACTTTGATGACGCAGACAGCAGTGGTGGTGGTGGTGGCGATGACTTGCGTGCAAGCATCTCGCTTGGCCACTCGATGGTGCGACGCCCGGAGGAG